CCTGATGGTGGGGGTGGGTGGGTGCGTGCGTGATTTCCAGAGAGACACAAACCCACCCCGTTCTGCCAGAGGTCCTGCCCCGCGGCCCCGCTCCTGGAAGCGCCTGTGGTTCAGCTCCAAGGAAGACGCTAAAAGGCAGCGTCAGGAGGTTTCCTGCTGCTTGTCTCTTCCAGCCAGTGTTTCTGTTTCAGAGGAAGGATGTGTTAACAAAAACAGCTCGCAACAGCGTAAGAAAAAATATCTTTGTTATTATGAATACATCATAAAATCACAATCGTTTTATACACATTTTAGTATTTCATATATAAATAAAGTGAACAGTATAGCTATTGGAATGTGTAATAGGAACAAACATATGGACTTTAATGTGAAGTTAACAAATTCTTGGACCCCACACCCATCTTCTGTTGCTTCTCTAAAGCTTAATGTACTAACTCTGAAATACTTCTAGGAAGATCGTTCCTCAAGCTGTAATGCCAGCAACAACTCCAGGCATTACCTTAATTCCATTTACAATCCATTTTCCTTTCCTTTTCCCGATTTAGCCTGACAATATACTCATTCGTCTTTCCAACATTCCAGCTTTGCAAGCAAGATCAGTTCTGTATGTACTTGGCACGGTGTTGAGAGAAAACATTTTCCAAGCTTTGCGATTTTGGTAAACGCATTAACAATCAGCATTCTCCTATCACTACACACTCTTGCAAATGTTTCCGTTAAATATATTTCTAATAAAATAACAAGCTCTTTATTATCCTTCTGCTTATAAGTTGATATCTTAACATCAAAATAATATTTATTTCTAATAAAATTATACATAGTATTTATATGAAACAAAGTTGTCATGTGCATGAGCCCAGTAATGAAACTAGGCGTGAGTTTAGATGTTTCTACATTATTATTTTGGATTCTTGAGGGGAAGTTGTTATTTCTGAGGCCACAGAGTTAATAAGTAATTTACAAGGTAATGACTTCCCTGCCTCCCCGGTAAAACTGGAAATGATTCCTCTTTATAAAACTTCGGGCATGCTGAAGAAAATGTCACTTTTCTGTCTGAGTGTCTGTATGTATTTATCCAGAAATCTTAATGAAATGTGTCTGATGCAATGTGTTACGAAAGTTATCATACAATTAATCAGAAATAAAATGAGAAAGGTCTGCAAAGATTGTAGCCGGACACAGACAGAAGGTGGAACCTTCCCAGCCAGCTCTGCTCACAAGGGCTCTCCTTGCTGGAGAAATTCCTGTGTCATGTTGGGTGGGGACTTATCCTTACCACAGTGTTCCCTCCTTGCTGCTGGGACTCAGCCAACAGCTTTGGGGCAGCGAGTCTGGAAAGAGAGGGTGAAGCTCAAGGACAAACCCAAGGAGCACTTTTGTTCGCCTTTTTTTACGGAGTGAGCATGTCTATTGGAAAACCCAGCTCTGGGATGTGGAAATAAATGATGCAGACTCCAGAAAGGGAAGTTACTGAGGTTTCCATTCAGAAAGGCACATAAACTTGTGCCGTATTTTATGTTCAGGAGTCTGTAGGACAGTTTTCTGTACTTACAGCAAGACATGTATTTTATCTACTTTTGTGGTGCAGTCTCAGAATTTCCCTTCCCTGGACGCTTATGCACAGTGGGGTAAATTGACACCTACCCCTGAATTTGATGGTCAAACTGTAGGAACTTCTCATTTGGTACCTGTCTACATTTGGAAACGCAGAGCTTAGAACTAAAATAAGTGCCTTTTGTGTAACACATCTTCTTGTGGGTAGGGGGCAATAGAATTTAGTTGGCATGTAGGAAGTCACTTATCTAACTCACTATTCAGTATCTGATGGACCAAAAAACTGCAGCTACTAATTCTATAGTGGGAATCAACCTGATCCAGCAGGTGATGGAGTGTGGTGGTAAATATATGCAAAAGTTACATAATTTGCAAGAGTTACAAATGTAACATTTGACACTTCACAAATTTACTTAAAGTTGTATATTCTTGAGCAATGTTATTTATACCTAGTTGCCTGCTTGAAATTAAGAAAATAAGACATAAATGCCTCAGTTCATGCATATAAGACCATCCCTCTTTTGGCCAAAGTTTCCTTCCCCAAATCTCACTGATTTCCCCATTATCCCCAAATCTCACTGATTTCTCTGTTATCCCCAAATCTCACTGATTTCCCTGTTGCCTAGTTCACAAGACCACTTGGATCTGCAGCTGCTGGCAGAGCTCCTCACAGAGGAGAAGCCCAAAGACCACAGGGTGAAAGCCCTATCATTTTTTCTAAGCTATCCCAGTGACTTAGTCACTGCTTTGTAAATATTGATATACATATAATGTGAAAAGGAGTACAGAACGTTAATGTTCTTAAAGCTAATGCCCTTGCTTGTGGCATAGTGATAGCGAGGAACAATTACAGGAACGAACACATCCTCTTAAGGTAATATACAAAAGATACAAAAAGTCTAGGCTGCCAGCTCTTTGTACATGACCTGTTACTGGTGGTGTAGGGATTACACCAACTATCTTTTGGCCCAGAGAATATGGAAGGGAATCCAAACCTTTACAGGTTATCTGAAAAGGGCCTGCTTATCATTCTGCTTGTATTTATTCTATTAGAACATGTAAGCCCTGAAAAACATGACAAAATGAGAAGTTTTTCTTTGCATTTGTAACATGGACATGACCCAGCACTAAACATACTGTAGAAGTAGCAGCTACATAGATATGACATTGAAGTTTTGTGCTTAATATACTCCTTTGTCTTCTAAGCATGGCAGAGTCCTCAGCAGCTGCGGTAATCCTAAAGAAATGGTAACATACATCACCCATGAGGTATGGTCTAACTTGTGCATCTAATTTTCCAGTGTAAAAAAAGGGCACTCCCTTTCATCTCTCTTCACAAATACAGGATCCCACGTGCAGTACCTCACCTTAGCCATCCTCGTACCAGTTAAAATGTTTTGTCATGTGCACTCCTGCACCTACTCATACTTCTCATATACCCAGCCAAATATACTGCCACTCTGCGTTCCGGTTCTGTCAATGCCATTTAGGTCGCTCTCACCCAGCAGAGGAACAAAACAGATGGAAGCTCTTTGCAAACATGAGGCCTCTCTGTGGTCTTGATTTCACTTGGACTTCAGCATTTCACCACAGAAGACATGCACTTGCAGGAGGTCAGAATCCAACTCATTCTGCAAGGCTGGGATTGATTTTGTGCTTGCCAGTAAGCCTACTTGATTCACTTGTGCTTGGTTCTCCTGCTTTATACATCCCCTGTTCTCTTGCTCATCTTTGTGTACTGTATCCAGCATGAATCTGTTGAGGAAGGGAACTGGCCTTCACACCGAGCAGTGTGAGAATAATAAGGGAAAAGTAGTGTTAGTTTAGGACAAGCACCTTTTTGACTCTCTCTGAATGACACTGTAGCAACACAAAGCCAAGTAATTTCCAGATCAACAAACAGCACCCAAGTATCGCTGCTTCACCGTACTTTTTTGCATTTTTCTGCCATGCCGGAGCATAACAGAAAGACATTTCACTTACAGCTGGCCTCTGCTGTGAGAGAGGGAGCCACTTTTCACACTTTCCTAAGCCTGGTAGGGACAGTAGCTGGAGACTTGAGTCCAGTGGTATCATATATGTACATGTATAAAGTAACTATGGACCAAGGTTTTCATTACTGACATCATTCAGGGAAGATGTTCAGCTGTCCCTCTACCCCTAGCAAAATTTGAGTACTGGGTCATTTGGACATAGAATGCAAGGCAGGCAGATGAAACGCTGTGGTCTGTGCCATTAGCTAGAGCATGCCTTAATTGTACTGCATACTAAAAGGTTTTCTTGGTAGTCTAGGTACAATGCACAGTGCAGGCTTGATGGTATGGAATTACTGCAAGGAGGCTACCATGAACCAGGAAAGCTACAGTACAGGCAGCATGGTTGGGGAAAAGCAGAGAGAAAACTTGGAAATAATATATATAATTTTTTTTTTTTTTACATTGTCAGTGCATTTTTATGTTGAACTCTAAAGGGGCTCTATTTTTCAGTAGGCATAGCTAAGGATGGGCTGCCTTCTGTGTCCTGGAGTTTCTGGGTGCTGCCCGTGGTTTGTAGTCTTCTCCAGATCCAAAATCTACTGTATCATGATAGTTTGTAAATTCCTGAGGTAATGGAAACTCCTCTGTTGACGAATGAGTCCTGTGTCCAAACACTCTCTCTTGCAGCTCAGCGATGTCGTTTCTGATGTCTGCCATCATCAGCAACAGGAAATCAAATGAACCTGGTGGGCCCTGCAGTCACAAGGCACGGTCATTAATTATATTCCACTTCACTCGTACAGTTTTCAAACAGGATGATATAATTACTTTTGCAGGGGTAACAGTAAAATACTGCTTCATATCAATTGCCAGAAATTATCGGTGTCTTTTTGAATCACCTTGCTCAGGAAACAATTTTCAAAGGAAGGCAAATGTTTTTGCAGACAGAGCCTACATTTACAGGATGCTCGGCCCTTTTGTTATTTAACAATTCCTTGGCTCTATCTGCCCTCTAAAAGTATCTTGATGCCATATGTGAACAGAGGAGATAACTCTTGGTTCCCTGTGTTCCTACTTGTTAAACTGGTAGAAATTACATTCTTAGAATGACTAATCAATCAATAATTATTATTTATTTAAAATTTTTTCTCAAGGGTGCTGGCATTCCGAAGGTATCTTTTCAGTATGGTAACCCTGCTGTTGTCCACCACTTACTAAATATATTGGTAATTATAATGTAGAGAGTATCCAACTGGTTTTATCTGATTTTAGAAAATCATCATTTCTTTTTAGCTGACTTCACACAGTAAAGTACACTGTTTAATTCTGAGGACAGCCTGCTGGACACACTCTTAAAAATACATTCCATGAATGAGAAAACACCACAATAAATAAATTTGTAAACAATTTCACCTGAAAACAGATTGTAAATACTCATCCTTGTCCTGAGGACTTGCTCAAAGCCTATAGCTTGCCAAATCCCAGAGAGAGATGAGAGGCAGGATTTTAATAGGGATCCAGCTCCCATTAGGAGCAGCGGCTGAACTGTACTAACTAGCACTCTGCGTGGGGTCTCACGCTGCTGCCTTCTGAGGATGTCCCACCACTGTTGCAGGGCAGAGGTGCACTTACTGCCTCCAGTGTCACACCCAGCAAGGGAGGAGGCAAAAACACTTGGATGAAAACAAGTAATTACTTTCTTTCCAATAACTGTGCATGTAAAGTATCTTTCACTGTGCTCTTGACACAGGAGAGGTGGGGTTTTTTTTTTTTTCTTTTTGGTGACCTGTTGTTAGCAGTCAGCATCGCTCTGTTGTGGACATTTCCTCCTGTCAGCAATACTTACAGGTATCCCCTTTGGTCCTGGTGCGCCTCGCTCCCCCTGTAATCAATAGCACCCCAGTTAGTTTGCTGTGACTAAAGGAAACAATAATCACAGTTTGCCTCTGTAGACTCCCTTAATTATTGTCACCAAATCAAGAATCATCAGCTTACGATTTCTCAGAAAAAGGAAAGAAAGTGAAGGGGGAATGCAAGGAAATGGCCACTGATTCTAGCAGGAGCGGGGTTAGGCACTTCTGATATTTATCCTAAACAGAAACAAGCAAACCAGTTAACAGGAGAAATTCACAAAAGAGCAGTCTGTTGAAATGGGCTAAAGCATCAACATTTATTCGTAGAAAAGCGAAAAGGGCTGCAGAGAAAGTAGAGGAGGCTGCTTGAAGGATAGCCTGGCAGGGCTATTTGCAAGACTGAAGGAACGGCAAGCACAGAATAGAAGGAAGACATGGAGGCATGTGACAACAGGACATTTTCAGCTTAGCAAAGGAAATAAGATGGTAAAAGGGTGTGGCTGCAAGTGTGTAGAGGGTGTCTCTAGCAAGCCTGCACTGCGCATGTTCATGTGCCCAAGTTATGGAAAACAGTACCTCTCCTCACCTTGCTACCATCTCTCCCTGGGGCTCCCGGTGGGCCCTGCAAGAGAAAAGAAAGTGTTCACAAGGACCTGAGAAGTTGTGGAGCTAAGGCCAATTGTGCAATGTGTGACAGGAGGTGAGAATACTGACCACGGGGCCCCGTCTGCCCTGCTTAATATGTGATATGTCTGGAGATGGGCCCATAGGTCCCATTGATCCACGAGGGCCCGGCTGTCCGGGAGGTCCAGGTGACCCAGGAACTCCTTGACTCCCTTTTGGTCCTGGAGCCCCTGCAACCGACAGCAAAGGTTACCTGCCAGGGAAAGCCTTCAGGTCACTTCACCAGCACAAGCAGTGGGGACTGACCATTTTTTGAACCACCCAATGGACTGGTTGCCTTAACACATGCATATCCACAACACCACAACCAACACAGCAGTCGTCTGAGATAACAGGACTCCTTGTCATGGTGGCTGCAAGAGATCTTCGCAAAACAATTAAACCTCGTCTATACAAAAAGCCAAGACTGCCACTGCCAGGTGGTTAGGGACACAGACTGGGAATGAAAAGAAAAGCAGAAATGCCTCATTTTCACACAAACAAGAAAAGAAGAAGTCACATCTGAGAAACACTTCATGAAAAGAAAGCCTTGAAAAACTCATGGGAGTGCTGGGTTGAAGGCATCTACATGACTGGCAGAGAAGCAAGCCCTTTTCAGTGGCTGACTGCACCTCTCTTGCTCAGTGCGGTAGCCAATGTGTTAGGGGCAAAAAAAAGGCTCTGTTCTTCCATTTTGCTTTATATTCTTTTCAGCTTCTGCTGACTCAGCAGAGAATGTTAGTTTTTAGGAAGTACACAGGCAATAAAGCATATGTTTAGCTCAAGAGAAACACTGTGAAAAGCAAAACAGAAAATCAGGCACCTGAAACAACAGTTGCACAAAATAAAGACCACTGAAGTGTCAGTAGCTGAATTGCTTTATAGTTAGAGGGGAAAGCACTTTCCTTCACGCTGAAGGCACGTGAAAGACATAGAAAACAAACAGCAGAGAGT